TATTAGAGAATTAAATGAGGTTGATTTGTCATTCCATGGCCATATTCTCACTCACTGTCAGTTTTCAGCAGTCACTTTTCTTTTTGTTTTTCTTATTTAGACTTTTCATAATTCATTCCACCTTTGCTCTAATTTTTGCAAAGAATTTCTTAAGTTGGTAAATTTGATGATTTGTTTTTTTAAATTAATTTATAAGTTTATTTTTTATATACATTTTTTTGTTTATTTGGATGCAAATTTTCTAATTTTAGTCGAATGTTTACTTTATTTCCATTTCGCCAATTTAATAATGAAAAGCTTGAAAGCTAAAATGTTGCCTCTTTTAAATAAAGCTTTGTCCATACTTATTAAATTTTACTTGTACTATTCTCATTACTGTTATTATCTAAATAGGCTGTGGTTGTAATTTTTAATTGATTTGTTATTGGTCCATCAGTTGTTTCTACGGTTTGTTTTTCTTTTTAAATTTTCAATTAGTTAGGATTCTGTTTGTGTGAAAAAGACTCCCCAAGGCCCGGTAAATAATGGTGTTTTGCAATGATTTTCAATTAAAAAATAATGAACCTTCCTTTACTGATAACACAGACCCGGCGATAATACAGATCCATTATAGGAAATCAGATTTCTTCTGGTTGAAGGTGTAAGGAGAGGATGGGGGCAGAGCACCGCCAAACCTCTCCTCGCCTTCCCCAAAGGGCACCATAGACTCTTTGGAGGCACCTGGGTAAGATTTTAGAACTGCTGCTCATTCCTAAAATGTTTTATATACATCTATTAGTAAGACTTAAATTTTATTAAAATACTTTTCCCCAAGTCAATCTGTTAAATGCTGAGAATGGTATGTTCCAGTCTCTACAACAAACGCATTTCTCTTTCACTTGGAACGTTTCAGTTGCATCTTTCAGTAACATAAATTACTGACTTTGTTCCATTTTAAAGCTTCCCCCCTTGAATCCTCTTCTCTGAACTAATATTGCTACCACTAGTATTTGAGTTTGATATCCTCTGTTTTTACTTTTAAAAAAATCTAGTACGCCCGGCGGGGTGTGGCTCAGCGGTTGAGCATCGACCTGGGATCCAGGCGATCAGGGTTCGATTCCCGGTCAGGGCACATGCCCAGGTTGCGGGCTCGATCAATGACTCCCTCATCATTGATGTTTCTATCTCTCTCTCTTCCTCTCCTTTCCTCTCTCTGAAATTAATAAAGATATATTAAAAAAAAAACCTAGTAAAATTATATTTCTGTTCTTACAGATATAGGATACACACACATATATAGGCAAAGTATATGTATGTAAATATATATGCATATTTGTGTATATAATGCATATACATTAAGTTATAGCTTTCTAGTATATAAATTCTGTATTTTTAATCGTATATACGTTTAAATATTAAACTTTGTGAAAACCTTTTAAGCTTTCAGCTCAAGCTTTTAAATTTTTTTGGTACCTGGAAATATTTATTTTACTGGGATTAGCCTTTTTTCTTTTATGATAAATCTCATCTAAGATAATATTTTTGAACTCTTAAGGAAATTTTATTTTACTTTATTTTATAACTTTAAAAAATCATGATAGGTAGAAAAAAGGAATAGTAGAAAGAATGCACTTCAAAACCAAGAGAAGATGGAGCGCTTCCACAGCCATCCACCTCTCTGGCTCCTTCAGGGAGTTTTCCAGTCGCCTTAGCTCCAAAAACTCTACCACCAGGACTCAAAACCACCAAAGACCATCATTATACCTGCGGCATAACTGAATGGTACACTTGATTTCTCTGATCAGTCACCCTTTATGAGAAACTTTGTGTTTTTAAATCTACGGCCAGTCACTTTAGGTTAAATTCAGATGGCCACCTGGGATCTTAATCAATTTTAAGTCAATTTTTAACATTTTTAAGCTGCCTTAAATTTTATGTATTCCATCCTGCTTTTTCTCTTGACTTCAGCATTAGGCTTCTGACTTAAAAACACAAGATAAACAGTCACTGGGGATTTTTGGCACCACATCTGTTTAAAAGCTGCTCTCTCTGGTGAGCTCCAATCCTTGTTCTCCTGTTTACTTTGTTCAATTTGAGGATCAGAGAGAAGGCAGAGTTCACCCAAATTTTTAGCATTTATTTTTATATCTTCTTCACAAACCTAATGGTTTATTAGACCAGATATTTTACTTGATTGATGATAAACTTGAGCTCCTCAGGTTCTTTCACAGTAGAGCAGCTGGGTCTTAGGCAAGGCTCTTCTGTGAGTGACCACACTTCCGCCGTTAAGAAAATCCAAGTGCAGCTTTTAGTGACCCTTTCTTGGCCTTGGCTTGACACGGCCCCATTTAGTGGATTCGATCTCACAACTTAGAATGTAAGAATTAGTAAACACACCTGTGCCACTCTGAGGTGGGGTTAAGTGGGGATGAGAGGCGGTTGGAGGGGAGTTGTATTTATATGTATTATTATGCTTACCATTTCCCTGCTTCTTTTTCCAGTCTCTCAAATACACTAAAGTAATTCTGAATATTATTTATTTTTTAATCTTTATTTGATAATTTAGAAGGATCTTCAGAGACTGTGGATCGCAGCTCTGTGTTAAAAATTTGGTGCTGGAGAAAACTAAGTAGTAGAATTAGTTAACTATCATGATGATGGACCAGCAAGTAGAAATGGATATAAAAATTCAGACACTGTTATGTTTAAAATCACATAATACTTAATATTAATGAAATAAATTACCAGTGGAATACAAAGCCAGACACACACAGAAATCAGCAGAAAAAAATAGGAAAGAACTCAATTTTTTTATATGCTTGCTCAATGTTTTGAGAAAAAGCTAGGGTCCCAAGTGAGTTTTTATGTCTATAAAATTTTTTCTCTTCTAAATTACATTTAAGTGAAAAAGAGAAGAAAGAAAGAAAAACAATAATAAGCTTTGCTGGTAGGTCTCTACCATTTTCATACATTCTAGGAGAGAAGGTAGTAAACAAAGTTTCTGCAACCGTAAGTGATGCTTAGGGGAAAATTAAATCACTGAGTGATGCCAGGACTGATTATTCTACTGCACTTTAAAAGCAAGAGATTGCAGTCTGCGAGTCCAAAGTGGTTTCATATGGACTGCCACAGTTGTGGTTTACGCTTGAAACTATAACCTGTCAAATTAGAAGCAGGCAAGGCCTGTGCTCTTAACGGTTCCACTTTCTACTGTCTACAGTTATGTCTACGAGTTCAGCACTTTTTATTCTGTTCGACTGTGTTATTTGGAGGACTAGAATCTCAAAACTATTCTTTTTTTAAATCTTGGTTAGAGAAGATTTAAGTTAGGATACAAAGCTTAGAGAAACTACTAGTCTAATTTTTATTATATAGGTGAAGCCGACTTGCACGGTAACTATTTAGAGAAACTACTAGTCTAATTTTTATTATATAGGTGAAGCTGACTTGCACGGTAACTATTTTTATCAATATTGATATTTCATTACCCTGGCTAACACTAAGTAATATATAATGCAGCTACAGGAAAGAGGCCTATAAGCTGCACTCGCTCCCAAGCTTTTCCTACCCCGCACTGCCAGATATCCTCCTGCCTTTAACTCGTACCTTACTGACTCACCACTTTTCCAGGCCCACAGTAGCCTGCTATTACGAGCTTAGTGTTACAGCACGCTCCACTTCGTCTCTCCTCCTTGATTGTGGAATGCCCTTCTGGGCAATGGGCTAAGTTGACAGAGATTTTCCCATCGAGACTGAAAAGCTACTTGTTCAATTTTACTAATGTTTTATGTAGAGTCCTTCCTTAATGAATCTTTCTTCATGCCCATTTGTATAATATAAAAATGTTTAAAAAATAAAGCATAAACAATATTTGCTCTCTGTCATAAGTGAAACCATGCCACTAAACAATCATATCCTGTTTAGGCCATAATGACATCAGAAATATATGTTTATCATCTGCATGGGACAACTTAGCATGTTTTTGGCCCAAGGCGAAGTTGAACTAAAACCATTTGCCGTTGTCCCAAACCAAGATAACCACACATTTCTAAGGTAATTGATACCTAAGAAGAACACTGCCTTTAGATCACAGTTCATGATCTAAGTATACTAATTCTTTAAAGAAGGCTGTTAAAGTTTATAAACCATGTATGTCTATTGGACTTCCTCCAAAATTTAACATGAAATAATTATATTCTTAGCATGCACAGAGACTATGATAAAGTGGGTACTTAGCACGATCTTTTAGAGCTCTGAAATTACCTCTCTTGCCTAATTTAAAGAGAAAGGGGAAATGGAGGGTTTTTTTACATGTAAAAGTATAAGAAGAAGGATAAGAATAACACCTTGTATTCTGAATGGCGCTCAGATGAAATCAATCATTACTTTTATTTTCCCAGAGTATTTAAGGAAACAATTTTATGAATAGATAAGCTAAGGTAAATAGAAGGCATACAATTTTCATATTCATTGTGAAAATATATCCAAGGAGTCCAAACACATGTCACTAGCTTGGTGTCACAGTGATAGAAAGCCTGTGATTGCCCTGGATTCTACCTTAGCCAGTGAGTCCAACCACAGCCTGGAACTAAAGCCTGAAAACAGGTCTTCATGCCGTATGCCAATGCAAATGCAGTTAAGAATTACCTTTGCCCACAAAGCTAACTAGATATTTGGAACAAAAAATAAATAAGTATGTAATCATGAATTAACTTTTAAGGAATCAAATAATATCAGTAAAAGTAAGATCCTAAAAAAGGGAAGGAAGCTGAGGGAAATCTATTGATATTCAAAGGAGGAAACAGGCAGGAAACTGGTGGTCTCTCCATGTCAACTCTGAAGGCAGAGCCTGACACCCTCTCCAGGCCACTTCACTGCACAGCGCTGCCTTCAGACATGAAACCACTGAGTGGGGCATTTCAGACAACATTTAAAGAACATAATAACAGAACCAAACAGCACAGACACTGCTAACTGGAATGCTATTCCTTAATGTAAAATGTGAAGAATGAACTATATACCTCCATTCTTTCTTGTTTAACTTCATCAATTTCATCATCTTCAAACATTGCCAAGAGTTCTCCTGTTTGGTCAATAGAGTTGAGAAAGTCTTGAGCGATTTTTTGTCTTTTGTTTGCATTATTACTGCCACTCAATTTGTCTTCATGGAGATAAAGGAAAGAAAAAAGAAATTTGTTTAATAAGGTTATAGCAGCACCAATCATTACATGTATTAAATCCTAAATAGGAAATTCAGAATTAGAATTCTCTCAAAATAATTTTTAAAAGGAGAATATCTGCATCCAAAATAAAAGTGTAAGTCTTACAGAATTAAATAATTTATTTATTTAATAAGACTGAGAGAATAAAACCGAATTATCGATTATCACAATAAGTGTGAATGGACTGATTAAAATTCCTTACCAAAAAAAAACTCAACCAGACAGAAAAGGCTCTCAGATTTGGAAAACAATCTTGCTATAGCAGGCCTAATTAAGAAAATAAAAACTAAGACATAAAAAAAAATAACATTGCAAGAGAGAGGAAATTAAGAGATTATTCTGTACGTTGCTGTGGCAACACATTTAAAATGAAAAGGATGACACCTTATTCTTTTTCTTTTAAGAGATAAAACTCTCAGACTTATTGAAAAGCAAAACACGACTCAGAGAAAGTTATTACGAAGGGTCAGGAAAGACAGTAATATTGCAATAGGTAATTAATACAGTCCAATGCACTAAAAGATCAGTGTGAATTAGCGAGTGAATCAGTGAGAAAACCGGATTGTTCTGTAATGTGATAAAGATCTTTATACCAGACAAAGATACCCCACACACCTTAGGTGAAAGCATCCAGTTTTTCACCATTAAGTACAATGTTAGCTGCGAGTTTTTCATAGATGGCTGTCTTGGTCGGTTTGGGCTGCTATAATAAATATACCATAGACTGGATGGCTAAGAACCGAATATTTCTTTCTTATAGTTCTGGAGGCTGGGAAGGCCAAGACCAGGTGCGGGTAGACCTGGTGTCCGCTGAGGGACGGCTTCCCAGATTGCAGACGACAATCTTCGCGTGTCCTCACACGGTGGAGAGCCGAGTGAATCAAGCCACCTCACGTGTGCTTCTTCTAGAAGGGCACAAATTCCATTCGTGAAGGCTCCTCCCTCATGATTTAACTGCCCCAATCCAACAGTATTTCATGAGAGGAACACTCAACAAACTAGGAAGAGAAGGGAACTTCCTCAGTCTGACAGAGGTCACTGAGTGTCCCCTCTACAATTCCTATGTTGAAACCTAATCCCTGGTGTGATGGTATTTTGAGGTAAAGACTTTGGAAGGTAATTAAGTCATGAGGAAGGAGCCTTCATGAATGTGATTAGTGCCCTTCTAAGAAAAGGCACAAGACAGCTGTGAAAAAGGTGAAGCGACTGTGTACAGATTGGTAGTTACAAAATAGTCATGGGGATGCAAAGTCAGTAATATTGCATATGTAATAACTATGTATTTCCAGTGGGTATTGGAAATATCAGGGCGAACACTTGGTAAACTATATCATTGTCTAACCACTATGCTGTACACCTGAAATTAATAATACTGACTGTAAACTGTAACTAAAAACATTTGAAAAATTTTAAAAAAGTAAAAAATTAAAACAAAAATACAACAGAAACAAAAACAAAAGGCTTTTGGATTTTTAAAAAAAATTATCTTTTTCGTCGAAAGTATTACAGATGTCCCCTTCTTTTCCCATTGACTCCTTCCACCCCACACCTACTCCCTGCACCAGGCCTTCACCACACTATTGTCTGTGTCCATGGGTTACGAATATATGCATATAAATCCTTTGGTTAATCTCTACCCACCCACCCCTACCTCACCTCCGAGATTCATCAGCCTGTTCCGTGCTTCTATGTCACTGAATCTATTTTTTTCATCAGTTTATTATATTCTTTAGATTCCACATATAAGTGAGATCATGTGATGTTTGGCTTTCTCTGCCTGGCTTATTTTGCTTAGCATAATATTCTCCAGGTCCATCCATACTGTCCCAAAGGGTACGAGATCCTTCTTCTTTACAGCTGTGTAGTATTCCATGGCGTGAATGTCCCACAGCTTTTTTACCCACTCATCTACTGATGGGCACTTGGGCTGTTTCCAGATCATAGCTATTGTAAAATGCACTGCTATCAACATAAGGGTGCATAAGTTCTTTCTGATTGGTGTTTCAGGATTCTCAGGATATACTCCTAGAGGCGGGATCACTGGGTGAAAAGGCAGTTCCATTTTTAATTTTTTGAGGAACCTCCATACTGTTCCCCGTAGTGGCTGCACCAGTCTGCATTCCCACCAGCAGTGCACGAGGGTTCCCCTCTCTCCACATCCTCACCAGCATGTGTCATTTGTTGATTTGTTGATGGTAGCGATTCTGGCAGGTGTGTGGTGATACCTCATTATTGTTTTAATTTGCATCTCTCTGATGATTAGTGACATTGAGCATCTTTTTATATGTCTCTTGGCCATCTGTATGTCCTCTTTGGAGAAGTGGCTATTCAGGTCCTTTGCTCATTTTTTAACTGGATTGTCTTCCTCTTGTTGAGTTGTATGAGTTTTTTGAGCACTTTGGAAATTAGCCCTTTATCAGATACATCCTTGGCAAATATGTTCTCCCATACCATGGAGTTTTTGTATTTTGAGGCTGATTTCTTTTGCTGTGCAGCAGCTTTTTAGTTTGATGTAGTCCCATATGTTTACTTTTTCTTTTGTTTCTCCTGCCCTAGGAGATGTATTGCTGAAAATTCTGCTACGTGAGATGTCTGTGACTTTCCTGCCTATGTTTCTTCTAGGATTTTTATGGTTTTGCAACTTACATTTAAATTTTATCCATTTGAATTTATTCTTGTGTATGAAGTTGGTGATCTAGTTTCATTTTTTGCATGTACCTGTCCAATTTTCCCAACACCATTTATTGAAGAGACTGTCTTTACTCCATTGGATGCTCTTGCCTCCTTTGTCAAATATTAACTGACCATAATGGTGTGGGTCTATTTCTGGGGTCTCTGCTCTGTTCCACTGATCTATATGTCTGTTGTTGTACCAATACCAGGCTGTTTTGATTACAATGGCTTTGTAGTATAGTTTGATATCGGGTAAAGTGATCCCTCCAACTCTGTTCTTCTTTCTCAAGATGGCTGGGGCTATTCTGGATCTTTTTTGGCTCCATATAAATTTTTGGAACATTTGTTCTAACTCTGCAAAATATGCTGTTGGTATTTTAATAGGGATTGTATTGAATCTATAGATTGCTTTGGGTAGGACATTTTAATGACATTAATCCTTCCAATCCATGAACATGGTATATTCTTCTACTTGTTTATATCTTTCTCTATTTCTTTTTTCAGTGTCCTGTAGTTTTCCGAGTACAGGTCTTTTACATCCTTGGTTAAGTTTATTCCTAGGTATTTAATTTTTTTAGTTGCAATGGTAAATGGTATTGTTTTTTTACTTTCTCTTCCTAAGAGTTCATTGTTGGTGTACAAAAATGCCATTGATTCTCGAATGTTAATTTTGTATCCAGCTATCTTCCCAAATTCATTTATCAAATCTAGTAGTACTTTGGTGGAGTCTTTAGAGTTTTCTATGTACAATATCATGTCATCTGTGAATAATGAGTTTTACTTCCTCCTTTCTAATTCGGATGCCTTTTATGTTTTCTCCTGTCTGATGGCTGTGGTAAGGACTTCCAGTACCATGCTGAATAAGAGTGGTGAAAGGAGACAACCCTGTCTTATTCTTGTTTTTAAGGGAAATGGTTTTAGTTTTTGCCCACTGAGTATAAGGTTGGCTGTAGGTCTGTCATATATGGCCTTTATTATGTTGAGGTATGATCCCTATATTCCCACTTTGCTGAGACTTTTTATTAAAAATGGGTGTTGGATTTTGTTGAATGCTTTTTCTGCAGCTATTGATATGATCATATGGTTTTTTCCCTTCATTTTGTTTATATGATGTATCACATTTATTGACTTGCAAATATTATACCAGCCTTGCATCCTGGAATAAATCCCACTTGGTTGTAGTGTATGATCTTTTTAATGTATTGATGGATCTGGTTTGCTAGTATGTTGTTGAGGATTTTGGCATCTATGTTCACCAGGGATATTGGTCTGTAATTTTGTTTCTTTGTAGTGTCTTTATCTGGTTTTGGGATTAGGATGATACTGGCCTCATAAAAAGAGCTTGGGAGTTTTCCCTCCTCTTGAATTTCCTGGTGGATTTTTTTCAAATGATTTTTCTGCATTTATTAAGATGATCATGTGGTTTTCGACCTTTATGTTAATAATATGATGAATTACACAAATTGTTTTTTCCATTTAAACCAATCTCCCATTTCTGGGATAAAGCCCACTTGGACATGGTGTATACTTTTTAGATGTTGCTGGACTTGGTTTACTAGAATTCTGTTGAGAATTCTTGCATCGATTTCAAAAAGACATTACTCCATAGTTTTGTCTTTTTTTGTTTTTTTTTCCCTTGTGATTTCTTTGAATGGATTTTGTATCAGGGTAGTAATAAACTTTTAGACTTGGGAAAGTATTAGGATTAATTGTTCTTTAAACATTTTGTGGAATTCATCAGTGCAATCATCTGGGCATGGGTATTTCTTTGGAGGAAGTTTTTAAATTACTAATTCAAACTCTTTGTTTATCATAGGTCTACTCAGATTTTATATTTCAGTTTTTATAGAAAAGAAAGTAAATATCTATAGAACTGATTATACCAACCATTTTATTTACCAAGTCTGTTTCTTTTCACTTTTTTTTGTAATTTGAGCAACCATCTTGTGTCACTCCTTATTCCCAAAGAGCTTTGTTACCACCGACTGTTGTTAGTGTCAAATATATTACATATCTACATGTTATAGACACATTATAAATATAGATATTGCTTTATACAACTATTTTGAAATCAGCTGAGAAGAAAAATAAATATGCAATTATACTGTCTCATATTTACCTACAGAATTATCTTTACAGGTGTTCTTTTCTTGTGTGTGGGGATGTGGATTCAAATTGTTATCTGGTGCAAATTGCTTTCAGCCTGAAGAACTTCCTTTAGCAGTTTTTATATGAGTCTGCTAGCAAGAAATTCCCTCTTTTTGTTTATCTGGAAATATCTTTATTTTGCCTTCATTTTTACCTTTTTTTTTTTAACTGATTTTAGAGAAAGAGAAAGGGAGAAGGAGGGAGGAAGAAAGAGAGAGGGAAAAAGAGAGAGAAACATTGATAGGCTGCCTCCTGCACTGGGGATCAAGCCCGAAACCCGGGCATGTGCCCCAACCTGGAATCGAACCAGTGACCCTTTGATGCATGGGACGAAGCTCAATCAACTGAGCCACACCTGCCAGGGCTATGCCTTCATTTTTGAAAGACAGTTTTGCTGAATATTTTTCTTGGTTTACATTTTTTCTTTCAGCATTTTGAATATGTAATCATACTACTATCTGACCTATATTGTTAATGAGAAGTCAGCTGTTAATAATATTGTTAGGATTCTCTTGTATGTGATGAGGTACTTTATTCTTGTGGCTTTCATGAATTTCTCTTTGCCTTTCAACATTTCTACTAGAATGTGTCTGAGTGTGGATTTCTATGTGTTCATCCTACTTGGGCCTTGTTAAGCTCTTTGGATGTATAGATTAATAGTTTTCATCAAAGTTGGGAAGTTTTCCATCATTATTTATTTGAATATTTTTCTGTTCTTTTTTCCTCTATTCTTACCCTCTGGTAGTCCCATTATGTATATGTTGGCTCACTTAATGGTGTCTCATATTTCTCTGAAGCTCTTTTAATTTTCTTTCATTTTTTTTTCTCTTTGTACTTCATATTGCATAATCTTTAACAATCTGTTCTAGTTCACTGATTTTTTTTCTTCTGTTAGTTCAAAGTTACCATTGAGTCCCTCTACTGAATTTTTCATTTTGGTTATTATATTTTTCAATTCCAGAATTTCCATTAGCTTCTTTTTATAATTTCTATCTTTTTATTGAAATTCTCTATTTTGCAAAATACTGTAATCATATCTTCTCCTGTTCTTTAAACAGGCATCCTTTAGTTCTTGAACATATTTATAAAAGGTATTTTGACATTTCTGTCTCCTAAGTCCAGCATCTGGGCCTTTTGTGTTGTCTGATCCTCTCCCTGTCACCTCATCCCGCTGCTTTTAGGGATCACACATACCTGTTTCTTCGCGTATCTAGTATTCTGTTGTTGCTGCTGTTGAAAATGGACATTTTAGGTAGTCTATTGCATCAACTTAGATAATATTTCCCTCCCCTTCCTGGGGCTTGTTGTCATTGCTTGCTTGTTTATTTGTTTAGTGACTTGGCTGCACTAGTTCAATAAAATCTCTTTCCTTCACAGTGCATAGTCTCAGAAGTTGCTCCTCAGAGGGCACAGCCTTGGGCATGCAAACAGTCTTCTCAGTTACCAGGGATGACTGATTTTAGTTAGTTTCTCTTTTGGCTTTCACTTTTCCTGATCTCTCCATTAAGTTACTGGCTGGTCTGGCTCTACTGCTGTCACATACAGCTAGCTGTTCACTTCTACTAATTCCTGGCTGACTGCTCTATTGCTTTTGTTAATACTCTTGAACACAGATTGCTCCACAGAATGATCTAAATAATGTTGGGCCCCTTTGCAGGGTCAAGGTATTGTCAGCTTTTAAGTTTTGCTCTGACCCCAGAAGACTCCTCTTATCTGTCTCTTTCCTTCATTTCCTCTGTTAAACTTTCAGCTTATGACCTGTTCATGCTTGTTATAGCTGGAATTAAGAAGCTACCAGTCTCCTCTTAATTGCTCACCACTAGGAACGCCACTGCTGTTTACCTGCTTTGTTCCAAACAGTCCCCTTTTGTTAATACTCTTGAACATAAATTGCTCCACAGAATGATCTAAATAATGCTGGGCTGCAGAGTTATCTTCTTATGAAGTCCTGCCTTTCCTTCTGGGGATGGAAGCAGCTATCAGCTTCTCCTCGAAAGACTCTTCTGGATCTAAGAGTGGGGAGTTGGTCAAGGATGGGAGCCCTTTGTCTTTTAGGCTTGTCCCTTTAGACATGGATCTTTACTTCCTATGAGAAAGCTAGGGTGGGGGCAACCAGGGCCCAGTATTCTCAGCCTAATATGTCTGGGGTACAACTTCCCTATGAATAGAGGATGAGAGGAAGTTCCAGTCCATTTAGTTATGCTTACCTAGAATACAGCTTGTGCAACGTCGAGCCAGAGGATATGAGAGATGCTGACCTCCTGCCAACTATTTAAACTATTATGTCAACTCTTTAAAAAATTTTATATAAGACACGCAAAATTAGAAAACTTAAGTGAATATAAAGAGGAAAGATTTGAAATAGATAAGAGAGGACAGGGAACTAATATGATGATGTTAGTGCAACTGAATACTAGTCTTACCACTCTGAGCATCTTGGTGTTCAAAGCATGGTATTAGCAACTATCATTTATTCAGTGGCAGGAATGTATCAGGTGCTTTTCATATACTATGTTGAAATCTCATAATTCCACATGGCAAGTGGTATAATTTTCTGACTTGTACATGAAAAAACTGACCCTCAACATCATACAGAGAGAAAGCAGAGAACTGGGATTAATTGAAATTCAAGCATATTTTGCTTCAAGTCTGTATTCTTTATGCTCTCCATAAAAAGGAACATTTAAATTCATCTGGAGAACTATTTCCCAGGAATTAAGTTCTGTGAGGATTTCAGGAATATTAAATAGGCAACATTGTTTAAACATTTGATCAGAACTGTTTTTTTCGTGGCTGTTATACTGCTGACTTGTTGAGGGTAAATGAAAGCAGTTCTCTTTCAAAGTCTGTTAATTCTTTAGTTGGTTTTGAGTGATCTTCTAGAATTCTTAGTTCAGTAGAGTTAGTTTACTTACTTTTTCAATATATGTATCAGCAACAAATACCACTATGCAGTGACATTTTTCAATCCAAAATATATGAGTTATTTCTAAAAACAGAACATACACTGAACCTTGAACAATTCAAGGGTTAGGGGTGCCAAACATGGCTCAGTCAAAAATCCATGTGTCACTTCTGACTCCTCTCAAACTTAACTATTAATAGCCTACTGCTGACTGGAAGCCTTAATCATAACATAAATAGATGATTAATACATATTTTGTACATTATATGTATTATATACTGCATCCTTATAATAAAGAAAGCTAGAGAAAGAAAACATTATTAAGGAAATCTTAAGAGAAAATACATTTACAGTACTTAGTGAAAAAATCTGCACATAAGTGGACCCACAATTCAAATCCATGTTGTTCAAGGGTCAACTGTATTTATTTTGATTCAATAAGCATTGTTTACTAATTATCTATTTTCAGCTTAGCATTGTTAGATTCTGCAACATTAATATTTTTTCTAAATATCACAGAATGGGTAATTGAGTTGGAAAATCTGATAAGGAAATTTTTCTACTCTGTGTTAGGCTTTTTATTAGAGTTCAAACAGCATAGAAATATACACTAAAATGAGGTGACTACATCGTTAAGACCTATCAGATACTTTCTATAATAAATTAACAAAAATCCATTTGTATTAATTTAAAAGACATAATAGTTCTGGCTCTCTACATCTACAACAAAAAAATTATGCTTGCTAAAACAATGTTTTGAATTCACACAATTTTCTTAGTTTCATGATATTCTGATGTAAAGCAGGTCATAATATTAGAAGAAAGGACTGAAATACCAGATTACTATTAAGTCACATAAGTAGAAAATCATAAGATTTAGCTGCCAAGTAAAAATTTAGTTAATTTCTAAATACATTATTTAACAGAAGTACATATATTCTACCCTGACGGGACTGTCTACTTCAACACTGCGTGAACGTGAGGCCCAGCATACGTGTGTCGCTGTTCTTGGTCTAGCATTTCGTTTAGATTACCTTCGAGAAGATCATCCTCATCGATGCCTTTGACAATCTTTGATTTGTAGTCTCGGAAAAACATGTATTTTAGCAGTCTTCTAAGTTTTTTCTATTAAAAATATGAAATCAGTAAGACACTTTATACATATATTCACTTTACTGAGTAAAGACTATGATAACTAAATTTAATAAGCAGTACCCCAGCCACTGGGGAAAATACACCGATTCTCAGCATAATACTACGTGATAAATAAATGTAGTCATCAAGTGAAACATAAAAGCTGAAACACAAGTATTTTTAAAGCACTTTTCATTTACAAGTATCCAGAGTCACAGTAATTACCTTTATATTTTGGTCTTACAAAAAGTTTTAAATTCTTTCTGAAGACTGTGATAAATATCACACTCTTCATACTAAGCTATTTTACTTTTTTATATGATTTATAAAAACAATCTAGACAAGGAGTTTGTAACAACTGCTTTAAAAAGGCATGTACTCTTCTTTTTATTGTTTTTTATTCTCTGAGAATCTTTTATTTTATTTAGAAGAGCTGGCTTATGGTTTATATTTCTGGAAAACAGTCAGTAATATGAGAAACATATTTTTATGAAACTCAAAGCTGATTAATGATAGTTGGGTCTTAATGACGGCTTTCCTTAGGTTTATTAGAAGGCCAGAATACTGCTTAGCTCGAAAAGTAACTGATAATACTTTGTACTTTGTTGTGTGCTTACACTTAGAATGCATTATTACTGGTTCTTGACCTTCAAGGTTAAGATTCCCAGTAAGAGCTGAAACCTAGTGCATTTTACAGAGCTCTTTTACATGCATTTTCCTTGATATTTTCAGTAGCCCTGAGATATAGACAACTATAATCATCTCTTTTTTACACATAGGGAAATCGAGGTTAAAATTCGTTTTACAACTAGAGTTTAGCAGGGCCAGCGACAGAAGAGAAGAGAACCTTTGACCCTGTTTCCTTACTTAGCAAGTAAGTAGAGCGCGGCCTCCCAGCTGCTGGAGGGCGCAGGCTGCCGGGGGCAGCAGGACGCCCCGCACTCAGCCCCGCGTGGGCGGACCCCGGTGAGGGGAAGCAGGGCCTCTGCTGCCCTGCCTTTCTTTTTGTGGGTTCCATTTGGTATTATAGATCTTATTTTGTCTTCTATTACATCTATTAAACTACTTTAAATCCTGTCCGGAGCATATCAGCATATAAATCAAATTACTGTCTTGGGGAGGAAGGTGAGAGCGACAGCTATCCCGTTAGGGCTTTGTCCCTGGTGCTAGGAGGGTGCGGGCTGAACGCCCTC